TAAATAATACCTACATAACTAATATCCACATAGCTAATACCCGCATAATTAAACCCTGCATAACTAATACCTGCATAACTAAACCCTGTATAACTAATACCTGCATAACTCTAACCAGTAACCAAACGGCCCCTAAGGGAAAGAGAATATTGCCGGAACAGGTAGTGAGCTTTGGACGAAGCTAAAGCAAGCTTCAACGGCTACTTCTCAGAGATATTGTCGGAAATAGCCTTCAGTAATTTTTTTTTGATAAAGTATGTTTATCTTGGCTATTATAAGTAGTAACAATTTTTACCCTTTTTAAAAAATGAACATCTCTTGAAATGGTTTTCGTCTCATTTTTTTTTTTTTTTGTCAAGTATACTTATCTTGACTATCATAACTATCAATTTTTACCCTTTTTAAAAAATGTACATCTTCTGCATCAAATAAAAAAAAAATCAACAATAGAATTGTATTGCTAGCACATCTCCTCGACACGTAAGATTCACTAATGTTCTCAAATCTTTCAATTAAGTGTAAAAATTGTTAAGACAATATAAAAATCAAAATAAGAAGAGATAGAATTATTTTAATTTGAAATCAATTATAATTATTACAACTTTTAAATTAATTATTATCATTATCGTCAGCCAACTAAAGAAATTATATATTTTAAATCTTGAATAAGTTATATCATGTTTAATTAAAATATGAGGGCATTTAAAATATCCGCACAACACTCGGACACGAATACTAATTCATGAATATATAGGGAAAAAAACTATTTTACAGTTTTCAAATAACCATTCCCTAATTGTTTGGTTTTATGTAAAAATACTTTTTGAAATTCTTTTTTTGTTTTGCTTTATGAATATCCCACGGGAAAGGGGAATATGGGTGAGGGCTTGGGGGTAGTTAGTTTAGACATAAAAAGTTTTTTTTTTTTAAAATAATAATTTAAAAACTGAATATTTAAACTTTACAAATTTTAAATTGGTAGTTTTTTTTTATTTCAATTATTAATTCTAATAAGAATAAGAAATATTGTTAATAAGAAGTTTTTTTTTAGTAATAAATGTTGTTTTAGTAATACGAAACTACTATACTATGAATTAACAAACAACTTATAGCGTAAAAAGTTTCATACTTAATCTTGAATCGTTTTACATTTAAAAATAAAAAAGGCAAAAGCTATTAATAATTATAATGCTAGTCTAATCAGTTAGTTAGTATAATCAATTAATTAGTTAGAATAGTTAGTTAGTCAATTCTCGATTCTGTTACTTTTCTGTTAGCATGTCAATTCACTAGTTAGTTAGAGTTTCACATTTCTCTCATTGTATAAATATGTGCTATCTTCATAATGGAAATCAATCAGTTGTTTTTCCCCAATTCTCTATCTTCTCTGATTTCTCTCCAGTTGCGTCTATAGATATGGTTAAGCCATGGTTATGGAGTATTCTTCACATGGTATCAGAGCGCGAGGTATTTCGATTCGTATGTGTTTCCATACATTGTCTTCGTCTTTTGTTCTGCTCCTGTGTTGTATTCTGATCGTTTGCTAGATCGAGTTTTTGGATCCATTTTACTTTCCGCTGCATTTCTTCACTCAGATCGATTCATCTCTTTTGTGAGTTTTTTTTAAAATTGAATTACTATGGTGATTGAAAGTGGTTCTTCTTCGAATGATAATATTGTGAATAACAATGGTGTTGGTAGTGAAGATCTTAGTTCTCCTTTGTATATGCACCCTTCGGATAACCCAAGTGCCTCGTTGGTTCAAGCTCCTTTTGATGGAGTAGGGTATAAATCATGGAAACAAAGTGTTCTTAGAGTTTTATCAGTTAAGAATAAGCTAGGCTTTATCAATGGTGATTGTAAAAGGCCCGATCCAGGCACATCACGATTCCGTCAATGGGGAAGATATGATGACATGGCTACTTCCTGGATTCTCAATTCTCTGTCAAAGGAAATTGCAGAAAGTGTGGAATATGTCTCTGATTCGTTCTAGTTGTGGAAAGAGTTGGAAGATCGATACGATCAAACAAATGGTGGAAAGTTATATCAGGTTCAACGTGAAATCAATGAGTTGTCACATGGAACTTTAGACATTACTACCTACTACACTAGGATGAAAAGGCTGTGGGAAGAATTGAACACATTGCATGTCAAAACTCAGTGCAACTGTAACTGCATTTGTGGAGCTAAGGATAACATGTTCAAGGTAGAGCAGGATAAGAGATTGATACAATTCCTTATGGGATTGAATGAGGTTTATACTGTAGTTCGAGGGAATAACCTCATGATGAATCCATTGCCTTCTCTAGCACAAACTTTTTCCTTGTTGATACAAGATGAAAAATAGAGAGAAATTAAGCCTAATACTCAAATGTTCATGGAGTCTGCGTCTCTAAATGCTAGCAGTTCAGGGAAGAAGGTCATGGAATTTGCTGCCTTTAATGCAAATGGTTCAGCAGGAGCAAGTACTTCTAGGTCCATGAGATCAAATTACTCTTCTACAGATAACCCCAATTTCAGAACTAATTATTCTCAGACCGCTTCCTACATTGGTAATAAGCCTCGAATTATATGTGATTACTGCAAGAAACCAGGGCACACTAGGGACAAATGTTACAAGTTGCATGACTACCCACAGACAAACAATCAGAATGCAAACACATCTATTCAGAATGGATATAGAGGCAACAATCATAATCCTAGGTTTAACAAAGGCAAAGGTCTTATGGCTGATGTCCAGGGTGATGGTTGTTCAGGAGAAGAGGAACACAGGGGAACCCATGATGACACTGGTCCTCATTTGACAAGAGAATAGTATACTCAGTTTGTAGAGCTGTTACAACACTTTCAAGCTGAGAAAGACAATGTTAAACACATGGATTTTTCTGGTGGTAATGTGAATTTTGCAGGTATGATAACATGTACTTCCTTAATTGATTTTGGCAAGTTATCATGCAGATGTTCTCACAATAAAATTGACTCTTGGATACTTGACTCAGGAGCCTCTAATCACATGACATTTAACATAACACTTTTAACAAACATTACTTACCTTCCCTGCCCCTTGTTGATTACCTTACCAAATGGTTACAAGGTGAAAGTTGTGAAAATTGGTAGTGTGATACTTACATCAAACATTGTTCTGCATGAAGTATTGTATGCGCCTTCCTTTAAGTACAATCTTATTTCCATTAATTGTCTTTCAAAATCTATGCCTAAAAACATTGTGTATTTTTCTGAATCCTCATGCATTTTACAGGCCCCTTCAATGAAGAGGCCTCTGATGATTGGTGAGGCAAAGAATGGGCTATATTTTCTGTATTCTAAATGTCTGATGAAGTCCACTTATTTTGGTGATGCATGTGCTACTTCAACCACTTTCACTTCTGGTTACATATCAAATCAAGATGCTTTCAGTTTCAAATCTGTTTCTTTTCCTGCTTCTTCATGTAAACATAGTAAATGTACTCAACATTGTGTTATACTCAATAAGAGTCCTGATATTTCTTCTTCTTTTAAATCTCATACTTGTGATGATGTGAATGTTTTGTGGCATAATAGACTTGGACAAGTACTTTTTGTGAAAATGAGGGAAATTAAGTCTATACCAGAAATTTTTTCTACCAAACAACCCTTCCTTTGTAACATTTGCCCCATGGCAAGGCAAGAAAGGATGCCCTTTCCTCACAGCACTCATACCTCTACCAAAATATTTCAACTGGTGCACATAGACCTATGGGGTCCCTACCACAAGGTGACACATGATAATTGTAGGTACTTTATCACTCTTGTTGATGATTATAGTAGGTATACATGGACTCAGTTATTAACATGTAAGAGTAACACCTTAGGAGTTATCAAAACCTTTCTGTCTATGATTGAGACTCAATTCAACACTTGTGTTCAGACCGTAAGAACTGACAATGGATTTGAGTTTGTCAATACAGAAACCTCAACTTTCTTGAAAACAAAGGGAATTATCCATGAGAAGACATGTCCCTACACACCACAACAAAATGGGGTGGTAGAAAGGAAACACAAGTACTTGTTAGAAACTGCCAGGGATCTTTTTTTTCAGTCCAAACTACCTCTCAGATACTGGGGTGAGTGTGTGTTGTGTGCCACATACATCATTAATAGACTCCCTACCTCTCATGTGAAAGGGAAATGTCCATATGAATTGCTATACAAAACTAAACCAATTTATTCCCACATGAAAACCTTTGGTTGCCTGTGTTATCCTACTCTTCCAAGACCTTATAGGGATAAACTCCAAGCCAGGACCATACCTCATATTTTCATAGGCTACCCCTTTGGATCAAAAGGCTACAAAGTTCTCAGTCTGGCCACCAAAAAGATACACATCTCCAGGGATGTAGTTTTTAAAGAAAATATTTTTCCTTTTGCTATTCTTCCTGACATTTCTTCTTTTCCTTCTGTCTTGCATTCTGTTCCTTTCATTGATCCTGTGCATCCTAACATTGAATCACAAACTGTACAACATGTTGAAAATGATGTAGTTGATGCAAGTGACATTTCACCTCACACTTCACCTAATCATGTAACTAATTTACCTGTCACCATTCAGCCCTCCAATCCTACAAATACACTTGAACCTACAGCCCCCAGCAGACCATCTAGACCACATAAATTACTCACACACCTTTATGATTATGTTTTACCCAAGAATATGACTAAACATTTACAGAACTCAAATATTTCCCTAAATACAGCCTTCTCCAAACACCAACATGTGCCACCTGAGGTCTTAGCACTTGAGAGTCAGACTCTTGTGAGAAATGTCAGTAGTGATGATGAGCCTTCTTCATATGGGGAGGCTGCTATGAACCCTGCCTGGCAACAAGCAATGACACAAGAGTTTGAAGCATTGCACACAAATCACACTTGGGATCTGGTTCATCTACCTAGTGGCAAGAAGCCATAAGATGTAGGTGGGTTTATAAGGTAAAACATAAAGCTGATGGGACTATTGAGAGATTCAAAGTAAGACTTGTAGTGAAAGGTTACACACAAGAGGCTGGGGTTGATTATACATAAACCTTTTCACTAGTGATTAAGATGATAACTGTGAGAGCTCTACTAGCCACAGCTATAAAGAAGGGCTGGACTATATTTCAACTTGATGTAAATAATGCATTTCTTCATGGAGATTTGCATGAAGAGGTAGATATGCAGGTTCCCGTAGGCTTAGTAGTACACAAACCAGGGATGGTATGCAGGCTGAATAAGTCTTTATATGGTCTGAAACAGGCCAGCAGGCAGTGGTATGCCAAGCTGGCTGAAGCCTTATATTTAAAGGAGTACACTCACTCATTGAATGATTATTCCTTGTTCCATAAGAAGTCTGAAACCTCTAGCATATTTGTTGATGTATATGTAGATGATGTGATTCTAACAGGCACAAGTGTTTCTGAAATTAAGGAACTCAAAACCTTTCTCCATGACAAGTTCAAGATCAAAGACTTGGGAAGGTTACATTATTTCCTGGGAATGGAAGTGCTCTACAAAGATGATGGACTTATTATCTCTCAAAAGAAGTTTGTACTTGACATGTTAAAGAGTTACAAGGTTGCAAGCATGAGCAGTTGCACCTCTCCCCTTGATCCTGCAGTAAAACTTCATGCCAAGGAAGGAACCCCTTTAACAAAACCACTCTTTTATAGACAACTTATTGGGAAGCTGAATTTCTTGACTAATACTAGGATGGATATAACATACAATGTGCAACATCTTAGCCAATTCATGTAGGATCCTAGAGAGCTACATTTACAAGCAATTTTTCATATACTAAGGTATCTTAAGGCAGACCCTACTCTAGGAATTTTCATATCTAAGGAACAATTATACAATGTCAAAGCTTATTGTGATTCTGACTGGGCTGCATGCCCTGACACCAGGAAATCAGTAAATGGTTATATTGTGTTGTTAGGGAACAACCCACTCAGCTGGAAGTCCAAGAAGCAAGAGACTATATCTTTATCTTCAGCAGAAGCAGAGAAAAGGGCTCTAAGGAAAGTTGCAAGAGAGTTGGTATGGCTGAACAGATTATTAGCAGAACTCACATTGACATTGCCTGCACCTATTGAAGTGTATTGTGACAGTCAGTCTGCTCTACATATAGCTCGAAACCCAGTGTTTCATGAACGTACTAAGCATATTAAAGTCGACTACCATTTTGTGAGGAATTTACTTCAGATAGGCCTCATCTTACTATATCACATAAGTTCTGATAATCAGCTAGCAGATATATTGACTAAGACATTGACCGGAATCAAACATTCTACAACATTGAGCAAGTTATCCGTGTTCTCCACACCTCCAACTTGAGGGGGGTATTAATAATTATAATGCTAGTCTAATCAGTTAGTTAGTATAATCAATTAATTAGTTAGAATAGTTAGTTAGTCAATTCTCGATTTTGTTACTTTTCTGTTAGCATGTCAATTCACTAGTTAGTTAGAGTTTCACATTTCTCTCATTGTATAAATATGTGCTAACTTCATAATGGAAATCAATCAGTTATTTTTCCCCAATTCTCTATCTTCTCTGATTTCTCTCCAGTTGCGTCTATGGATGGTTAAGCCATGGTTATGGAATATTCTTCACAAAAGCAAAGTTAAAAAAAAACTTACCCCACTTACTAACAAATAGACGAAGGAAGCATGAAAAACAAAGTGAGAAAGTGGTGGCCACATACTTCACTACTATAAACATGAAAAGAAGGGCCATGAATTGAATTGCAAGGGAAAGAGAATGCTACGAAGCTAAAGCAGCTTCAACGGCTGCTTCTTATGGATATTGCCGAAAATGGCCGTCAGTAAAGCAGGATGTTAAAGCAGCTGCAACTGCTTCCTGAAACAGCAATCAGCTATGCTTATATAAGGATCATTAATCGTTCAATTCAAAATTCAAGAATCAAAAATCAAGAATCTTTCTATATAACGAAATACCATGTCGTCTTTCACCCCAATTCAATCCACCTCCTATTCAAATCGTTGGTGTCATGATCTCACCAAATAATTATGTAACTTGTATACATAATGTTTAATTATACTCTAACTTACAATATTAAAGTTTTATCTTTTTATATTGTGATTTAACATTCATCATTATAGCCTACTTACATATATACTCTAAAAGTTGTCCTACCTAGTCTTTCAAATCTTTTATTTTCCATTTATCTACAAAGGATCTATTAAAAAAAAAATTTCAAAAATACCACTTATTGGTATAATGCTAAGCACAAAATTAAAAAGTTTTAATCACTTGCATATGTATCAATTATCAATTTTTTTTTTTTAAACGGGTAACTTTTATCAAATTTTAAGAAATATATTTTTAAAATTATTGTTATCATTGGGAGGTAACCAATTTTAAAGTCAATTTATTTTAATCTAAATTCATCATCAATATTGTATAAAAATATTTTTGCTTAATGTGAGAGCTAAGTAGATAACCTTTATTTTATATGAGATTCAAAAATTTAAGTTTCTATCTTACCTATCCAATTAGATATTTATATTTGAGTCTTAAAAAATAAATGATAAAGCAAAAGAATACATAGTAGCACTTTCAACTATTATGGCAAAATTGCAAAAGTTAATGCTAAAGAAGCTAGTTTTTTCTTAATAAAGTCATGAGATTATTCTGATTATTATATTATTTAACTATATTGCTAAGGTCATTACTTCAAATATAAGTACTACCTTAACAAAAGAAAGTAAAAGTAATATTTGAAGTTTTATATAATACAAAAATTGAATTATTCTAAAGAAAACGAAAAAAGTAACTGAAACTCTACTTGAATAAAAAAGTTATTTGTCTGTAGACTAATCACGCCAAAGTCTATGCATACAAAAATATGATTAATTAACACACATCAAAATTTTAATTACTATCATACCATTTTAACATCACATGCATTTAATATTGTTTCTACGATATGTAAGGTTAAATACAAACGTAAAGAAAAAAAACTGTATAAATTAGATATATCAATATATATATATTATTTTGTGGTGGGAGTTATTATTATAAATTTCTAAGATCAATATTTAATATTTTTATATGTCAAAAATAAATTAAAATTACTCACTAATTATCATCACTATAATATATGATGAAAATTAGGAATGTATGGTTCAATTTCTTATTTTATATACATGAAAAAAAGAAAAAGAACTATATATGTAGGCTTGGAGTTGTTTAGTTTTCATCTTCATAAATTTTAGCAAATGTCACATTTTTTTAGTATTTAGTATTACTGTTAATCTCTTTTTAATTTCTCATTTACCTTGTGCTACAATTGAAAATCTATAAAAAAAAAAAAATAAGAAATATGAATTAATACTATGAGCAAACTATCTAACTTCTTATATATAAATTATAAATACATACCTCTAGGCATTACTTTGAAGTAATTTCGGTATTGCTTTTCTATTTCAAGAATTCTCTAAGCAATAAAATCTCATTTTTTTTGTTGGTTATTTTTCTCTCGGTGATACAGTTATTAAAGAAAAGTACAAATAATTATAGTTTATTTCTAATTTTTGATATCTAGAAAAATTGTTTCACTGACGTTTGAAATTTGAAATAATTTTAAGTTCATGCGTATTTGTAGGGTAGTGGGAACATGGGAGTAAGGACGTGCGCTAAATTAGTTTATCTATATTACTAGATGGTTCTTTCCTGTGCTAAGCATGGGCCAACGTTACTTTCTCTGTCTCAATTTATATGACTTACTTTCTTTTTTAGTCAGTTCCAAAAATAATGACACATTTCTATATTAAGTACAACAATTTAACTTTAAAATGTCTAATGAAATGATTTATAATCACACAAATTTCTATCATTCATTTTAGACCACAAGTTTTATAAGTCTTCCTTCTTTTCTAAAACTCCGTGCCGAGGCAAAGTACCTCACATAAAATGGGACGGAGGGAGTATAATTTTACTTGTAGGTTTGATCTACCTATGAAATATATTCGAGATCCAACATAGCAAAAATAATAATTAAATAACCGTAATTTCAAAAAATACAATATCCGTCATTTAATAACGGATCACATTTTCAATACTCATTTTCAAAAAATGACACACATGTACGTTATTAATGTTTTCAACCATATGTAGAATCACATTACTCACTCATGCTAGATAGATAGGTATTGCTCGTGCTGCTAGCACATGCCCAACGTATAATTTATTATGTAACTAAAATTAATGAGTTGAGTATTAAACAAATAAAATAAAATATGTTTCAATAAAAAAATTTACTAATTTGAATATATTATAGCTGCCAAATTTGTTCATTATATATTCATGTGAATGTCAAACTACTGAATGTTGAAATGAGATATTTACATAGTTGAACATTTCTATATGTGAGATTGTTAATTACATTTACATACTATTTTAAATTAGTCAAAAACAGATGCATCTTCATGCTTGGATCTTTTAGACCATATTTGATCAAAATCACTTGTTACATTAAAATTGAGGATGAAATGTCAGTGTTTCAGGTGAAAAAGTAATGAAGGATTAAAAATCATGTTCAATTATGACAAAAATCACAATTATTTTATGTCCAACAAATGTCAACCTATAATGCAACAAACAACCAAGAAAAAACACTAGCATCATACGTTTTTGTCGAGAACTCTCCCTACAAAAATTTACTTATCATAAAATTTTGAGTTATGATTTCCAGCTAAATACATTTAAAGAAATTAACTACTAAAAGAGGATTCTATAAATTACAACATTGATAAAAAAAAAAAAAAAGGGAGTGAAACAAACAATTTACAGAGCACTTCAGTTTGATGAATTTCCCTAGAGAATCAGTTTTAAATTAATCACATAAGTTATACAACACAAAATCACAGGAAATGCATCAACATCAAGTTTCAACTAAGCCTCGTCCTG